GTCATAGTTTTTGTCACAACCGCCTGCTAAGCAGACACGGTGCGTCTAAAAAGTCACTGAGGTCTACTTTGTGCGGCTGGTTTACACGCGTTTCAGTGGTGTCACGAATAATTTTCCGCGCACAGCGATCAGTAGCCAATATGGAACATCCGGATCACTGGAATAAGCAAAATATCGTCCCAATAAAATGCTGACCAGTATCGCGGCATCGTTCCTTTCCGCACGTCAACACTTCCAAGGCAGTTGACTTGAATGCCCGATGTCCTCTCAAACTACTAGCATGCAGCCCGCCTGCAATCACGGCAAATTAACCTGCAACAACTATACTCAGCGTCAGCTGGCTTTGTCAGTAATACTTCTCAAGAACAGAGCTTATTGAGTGCGTTGATCGGGCTCTTTTAGGTAGGTGGACCACGATGCACACTAGATGCCAAAGAAGGTATTATCAGTGCTGCAAAAATACACTCCTCCGCACAGCCTGAAACCGAAACCGAAGACGAAGAGAGAGAAGTCTGATGCGACCAAGTATCAGAGTTATATTATTAGCAATTTGTCTGTGTGTGTTCGCTTGTAGCTAAAAGGTGATGAGAATAAACCTAACGACAAATAATGAAGCTTGTTACCCTTTTCTTACTTGTTATCAGACGTTGTTAAGCGTCAACTCTAGTCTGCGGCAATTTGTCGATTATGATTTTGACTGATAGCGATAAGGCTGTTCCCCAGGCATGGAAAGCAGAAAGAAACCCGAAATTTCCTTTCTGTTCCTGGCGCAAACCTCTGCTTTAGTCATAACTCTACACGGAAAAACTTCCTGGTGCTCACAAAGCATTCATTACATAGGTAAACCATGACGGGCTATTGCAGTGACTGCGCAGCGGAGAAACCTCGAACGCCGACATGATTCCAGCGAATCCTAATCTCTGGGCCAATAAGACTTGTTATTGTCTGATAGAAAATTACGCCTTCTTTACAGTTTATACTCAAAGAAAGCGTAGCTTTCGGTTTTAAAAAAAGTTGCTAATTAT